TAAACGTAACATATAGTTCACCTTAAGGAATTTCTTTTTGCTTTTTCTTTCTCTTTAAGTTTTACCAAACCTAAATCCAAACTAATTTTAACAAGTCTACATAAATCATAATTACCTCCTCATTTTCTCCGCTTTAATAACTGAAATAGCAATAAATGAACTGTATGGTTGATAGTAGTTCAGACTTTTTTAATAAGAAAACTATAATCGTTAAACAATTTTATATTTCCTCATTTAATTTATTATTTGTAGCAAAACAACAAATGAAAGAAAAAAACGTATGAATGCAAGTACAAGACTTGTTTCTATCACTTGGTGCAACAACATTTGTTTCCGAAAGAAGTAGCACATCTTCCAGATGTGAACCCAGCCTTCCGACAATCCGCCGCACATTTACCATCACCGTACGTCGGCGAACAAGTGTTCTTGCACATATCATCAATTCTCCCAGAAGGTTTGATCTCTGCATGTCCACAAAGTCACCACATATTAATATCGTATATAATCATATCTACGTTCTTGCTTTGAAACGATGAAACCTAATCAGAAAACATTACCTGAAGCCAAGATGTTGTAACTGGACGAAGAAGCTGAAATTATAATCAAGAGTAATAAAGTCATCGAAGTCTTGGTGTTGCCCATTTTCTTGCTTGAAGTATCAAACTATAAAGTTTATTTACAAAATATGTTATGTGAGTTTCTAGATTATAAGTAGAATCTATATTTATAGAACATTAAGGTTTTTGTGATTGTCAAAAAGAAGTTTACAATTGATGGATCTTCCATATATATGAATAAATTTGTAGTTTGACTAAAAAATATTTTTATATATATTGGTGCATGTATATGGATCTTCCTATATAATAAATAATATTTTTACTCAGTAAAGAGATTTTTTTCTTAATTATTTTTTTTTGTTTTCAAAAACAACGTTGACCCAGATCATATATCATATCGAAATAGGTTAAAGAATCGGGTTTAGATAATAGCTAAGATATTTTGTTTAAAATTAGATGGTTTCTTAGTTATGATTTATTTTCTTTTTTGACAACTCTTGATGTGCAAATTCTGGCTTATGTACTCAGCCATGGCTCAAGAAATTAGAATGCCCTTGGGCAAAAAAATGTTTTTGGCCTTTTCTCTAATTTATGCTAAAGAAATTTTAATTTGTGTGCCCATAAAACATGTTTTTAAAGATATTTTTATACATAAATTGGCATTTTCACATTTGAAAAGAAAAAAAAAATGAAAAATGGACCTAATGTTATTTTTTGTCACCTATTCTACTACTTTACAATAAAAATGGGCCCTATAATCTTAGAATAGTTTTGAAAAACTAAACTGGCTTTACGCCATTGCCCCTCTGTCCACCTTAGTTGAGCCAGACCTGTATGTACTACTTCATGTAGCCTTTCTCGTGCCAGCGAGACAAACAGCCATGACCAGCTTATCAACTTCATTTAGTCCTGTGACTATGACCAACTTGTCTACAATCTCCCATCGTGGAAATCCGTTAGAAAAACTTTGATCTCACATGTGTTAAATCGCTTATTAGCGTTTGCCTCAAAACTCTCTAT